TAAAGTGGAAACTGTGGTCATGGGTGAGCTCAACTTCACTATTAGAATACATACGCCTTCCACGTTGATCCATTGGCCTGGTGTAAATATAAAGGTCCCCAGCTAACAGGATTAGCAGCAGCTCACGTCTCTGTAGCCGAAGAGTCTTTTATTTGAGGGATTTTCAGCTGCAGGATTTGGGGCGAGTAAACTTTAATCGGACCGTCGTCAGAGAAAACTGGTAAATTTGCAGCAAAGTTCTGGTCCGATTCTGGACTGGAGAGACTTTAGGTCAAACAGCTGAAAGATGAGAAGTTCTCATTAATTGGTGATGAAACAAGTTTGTGCTCCTCTGCAGTAACTTGGATTATTTAAGTCAGGTGCATCTTTCATTGTAATTTGCAGGATTTACAGATTATCATGTCTTTGTAAACGTATGATCAGACTGACGGATCCACTGAATCGTTCTGATCAACACCCGAGTGACGAATTTATCATTTAAATGTTTGTTTTTGACCGAATCAAGACTTTTGTTCCTGAAAACACCACAATATGCTAAATTATTGCATTATTTTACATTTTGTATCGTTTCTTTTTTTAAATAAACCAATCTTTAACATTAAAACAAAAGCACAAGATTTGTTTGTATTTTTTTAATGAGACAATAAATTACAAGAAATCTGGATAAATAAATACTCAGCTTTTTCAGCATTTACACGGCGTTCTGACAACGGATGAAAACAAGCTGCTGGAGGATTTCTGCTGTAGATTGGATCAGGCTGAAGGTCCAGGCAGCTGTAGATCACCTCATCAGCTCCGTTTTATAAATATTTCTGAAGGTTTAGGAAGTCCTTGATTTTATCTTGCGTTCTGCTCCAAGCTCGGCGCCACTCTTCATCTCTCCACCTTGTGTGCAGTTTGCTCTCTTCTCTTCAGGACGTGCTCAAACCGGAGCAGCGGCTGAGTGAAAAGGCTCTCGGGTCAATATGACTCATTTCAGCAGCGATTACAGCAGATTCTACAAACCTGAGGGTTTAAAGGTCCACAGTACATCAAAGTTTGGCTTCTTCGGCAAATATCTGACGTCAAACGTGTGAAGAAGAGGAGCGTCGCTGCTGAGGGCGAGTGTTCAGACGGGAACAAAAGAGGCGTCTGAACTGGGTCCAAGTGTCCCTGCAGCTGGTTCTACAGCCCCTTCAGGGTGGAGATCTTCTTCTTCCGAGCTGCCAGCATCTCATAAAACGGGTCTTTGCTGATGGCGGCTCTGCGGGTGTTCAGAAAAGGCGTGTCAGCCGACAGCAGTCGGACCATCAGAACCAGTGAATAAAACGACTCACTTGATGCTTTTGATCCATTCGTTCTTCTCCTCTGCGGTCGGAGCAGAGATCCTGTAAACCGTGTGGTTTCCCTCCACGACCCGGCCGTCGGCCTCCGTCTTACAGGCCTTGATCACCTGATCCTTGTTGTTGGCGATGAAGAGCTCGAAGCAGTTCTGGGAGGAAGAATGTGGACCAGCGTCAGGGAGTTATTGTAACCAGAGAAGAAGAAAAACGTTTGAAATGGAGGAAGAAAATTTGAAACAAGTTAAAGCGTTAATCAAATGTCTGCTGGACTTGATTAAAAACAGATGGGAAGTAAACATCTAAGTTCCTGCTCAGTAATCCAGGTGAACAATCCAACAAAGTTCAGTCAGCTCATTGGGACGGTTTCGTTTTTTTGTTGACGTCTTTCATCCAAAGGACTTCTGGACTTTTTTTACCTGGATTACTGAGCATGAACTTTGACATCTTGAACCACTTGGGCTGCCTCAGAGGAGTCGACGGGGGAGAGGGCAGGCCCCAGAAACCATCTCATCACCATCAAACTGGTTCGTCCACTATGGGAGTGTGCTGCTTGTGGGACTCAGTTTGTCGTGGCTCCTCAGACTGATGAAGTCCTTTGGATGAAGGACGAAACATAAAAGGAAAAAAAAAGTCTAAAGGACCTGACTGTTGGATAGGAAGTGAATTTGTCAGTTAACAGCAGCAGTAAATAAGACTTTCAATTGCTGGTTAATTACTCCAACTTTACTGATCCATTAACAGTTTTCCAAAAATAAAGTTGTTTTTTAATCAAACTTTTCAAAAACCTTCTGTACAGTATTACGGTAAGCTAACAAGAGTGTTAGATTAAGAAAGAACTGTGGGAATTTATGTTTAACGAGACGTTTTTGTTTTGTTTGACACTACAGCAGGAAGTACTGTAGGTCTTTATTCCCCTCAAACATCTGGATCAAACGACTTCCTGCGGTCAGGGAAAGAAAACGTTACCGTTTCAGAAGAGTCCTCCTGGTCTGCTTAATCACGAGTTCATCGAGACATCAATGAACTCGTCTGAACTGAAGAAATGAACATTTAAAAAATTACAATTTGAGTGTCATTGTTTAACAAATATTTTCCACGCTCACGGCGCAAAGAGAAATCAAGATATTACCGGTAAGGCTTAATAAAAAACATCCGAGGGGTTTTCAAGTCCAGATCTAAAAATAAAAAAGACTTTAGGCACAAGTTAAGCACCGCAGAGTATCTGGGAAACTCTTCAGACATTAGTTTTACTCTTTCATCAGTACAAGTAAAATAAGGGAGCTCTGGAGGGACACAAATGTGACATTATCAAAGCTTATGGAAGTGAATGTGGTAAACGGAGCTGTAGCTCGTCCAAGAAAACATGAAAGGGTCAAACTTTTTCCACAAGAATTCAGTTCCTTTCATCAGCATCAAATCCTTCAAAACATTTTTTTACTAAATGGAAGATTACATCACTCACTAGATGAATTAATGTAAAAAAAAAAAAAAAAAAGGGCAGGAAAGAAATCTGCCCTGCAGGAGTTTTTTGTTCATTTTATCATCTCGACACCCTC